ACCTACAAGCGCATTATTTTTTATCATTTTTTATTCAATAAAATGGATTTGTGAGGTGAGGAAAGTAGCGAAGGCTAACAGGATGAGGAAAAAAGAAAGAAAAGAGGAAAAAGAGGGAAAGTAACAAAAAAAAACAAGCGCAAGAAGGAAAAAAAAACATAAAAAGCAACCAAAACAGAAAAGGGTTTCATCGAGATATAAGGGAAAATAAGGGAAAAGGGTAAGGGAAATTTACCGACGTCCGAAAAAAAAAAACTCCAAAAAATTCCTTTCTTTGGTTTATACAGTCCGTTAATTCAGAAGGTATGCTTCGGTATACCAACGACCACAAAATATCGCTAGACAATTTTGGCTTTCCCGTCGATCCTTCCTGGAACGTCCAGTTTTGGTTTGGGCTTCTGCGATCCTTTGCATTCTACTCTATTCCAGTAAAGCAGCAACGTTCACTCGTTGCGATTAATCGCAGTAGAGGAATATCCGTCGCCAAACAGATTCACTTAATCTTTTATCATTTTTCAGAAAATAAAATGAAAAAAAAGAGGGTATTACGCTAGAAGACAAAACAGTAAGAAGAGGATGAGGGTCAGAAGAACATAATTAAAATATTTTAATATTGGAAGAAGAAAGCTAGTGGTGTTAAGAAATTAATAAAACTTGAAATTTATTGAAAAATATTTTACAATTGGCAAAAATTGTTTCGGTTCATTAAGTCGTATACATTTCTTACCATTACCACAACTGCAGAAAGATACCGAACCCCAGCAGTAATTAAGCTAAATTTCAGTGCCCTGTAAGCAAAGAAAGTGAAATAGACGTCTACTATATATATGCTTCACAGCACGCGATAATTTGGCTACGTACATTCAATCATCTGCCTTATAATTGCCGGCGGCGAAGTGCCTTCAACTGGAGCAACAAGGGACGCACCAAAGCCATAACCATCTAAAAGCCATTGCACAAGAGCGCGAATGAATTAAATACATGCAAAAATTAACCAATGCAGTAGAAAAAAAAACAAATAATGGGCATAAT